CTGCCTTCTCCTCCTGGGAAGTGTCTGCTAACATGGAAGCCTTATCACCATGGTGTGGACAGTGTCATCCTCTAGGCGGCCTTGGGGATGCCCCTCCCCCTGCCCAGGTCCCTCTGGGTCTGTGTTTAACTCTGACTCAACAGGTGCTGTCTGGGGCCTCTGGGAGAACACAGGTAATAGATATGATAAAAAAAAAAAAGTGCATCCCACGGTTAGGTCTCTACCACTCCAGGGAGACCTAGAGGCTTTTCATGACAATGAATTATTCATGTTTCCTCTCCCTCTCCTTAAACATTTGGTTTGCTGTCCAGCTCCACAGAAGCAGTTTCTCTGGGCAGTGGTGTAACCCTAGCACCCGATGACAGTTTGCATTCTGTGGGCTGTGAGCCTGTGTGTGTCTTGGGATCCCAGGCAGTGGGCACCTGCCAGCGATGTGAATGCCTCTCCCTGCTCATTCTTCTGGGGCAGAATTGCAGCCATTCTCTCCTTCCTGCTCTGTCCAGTACAGACGGCATGCTGGGCGTCCTGGTCTCCCTGGCCTTCTTGGTCTGGCTGCAGCATGAGCTGCCAGGAGAGCCGGTGCTTTGTCAGATGCCTTCCAGCTCAGCCCCTGCTCCAAGGCCGGGCGTCATGCCCACTGGCTGAGCTGTAAACATTCACTCATCCTCACAGGCTTCAGCGCAGCCTTTGTTTGTACTCTCTGGGAAACCTTTGTATGACTGCTGGAGATGGGGCAAGGCTGGGCACCATGACAATTTTGGGGAAATTCAGACACGACCTTTCCCTGTGCCGCATCTCAACCAAGCTTCTCTTGTGAATGTGGGCTTCCTCGGGGTCACTGCTCTCCTTCTCTCCTAAAAGTGTACCCACACATGGTGTTGGCTATTGATTTTACCCTTGGGGGAAGTGTGGATATGGGAACCTGAGTGGGTATTTAACAAGCAAGAGGCTGTTCCTGGCTCCAGGCCAGACAAGAAAGATGCAAATGAATGTCTAAGACCTGAAGCTCTGGTTGGTACCCAGGTTGGTAATCAATTGAGGAGGTGTGGAGAAGGAAGAGAAATGGCAGTATGGCCAGGCATGGCTGACAGCAGTAGCTGATCGCCTTTCCATGCAGGTATAGGAGAGGGGCAGGGTGATGGTGTACATGAACCTTGGCTGCTGGAGCCAGAGCTTGACCAACCATTCGATGTGCCCCTAGCAGGTCACTTCACCATTCTGTGCCAGTTCATGCTCTCTAAAATGAGGGCAATTGCAGCGTCCCCCTTGCAGGGTTGGTGGGAGGATTCAGTGAGCTCATACAGATAAAACATCAAGAATGTGTTCATGTTAGCAGGCGTGTCAGCTTGTGTATCCTGTGGGTGGGCTCGGGATTTCAAAGGAGCCACCTGAATGTTCTGACAACTTGTTTTTCAAAATGCTCCTTCCATTCTTTGTAAGTTTTATTTTGAATTCTTAGAAATCATTGAAGATAAAGTTATTGGTAAAATCTGTTCTCAGACTGCCCAAAGCCTTTCTCTCCTTTTTCACTGAAGTTGACCATTTACTTGTTTACATGAATGATTGATCTCCATCATTGGAGTTAGAGGCACCATGAACAAGTAAATTTGCATTTATGGTAACAGTGGCATCTTTGCTGGTTATTGACCAGTGGAAAACTTCATCAGTGTGCATCTTCTCTGCTGTAGCTTTAACTGCTCTTCTACTGAGAATGGTGTTTGTGTTTAGTGAAATGGAAAAAAGCCAGAAGGGAAGAAAGAGCAAGTGGTGAAAAGGTCTGGAATGGCCCATAAACTCCAATTGCTTTCCAAGCCATCATGGTGAATTCCCATAATTCAAATCAATAAGGAGGTACACATCTCTCAAATAACTGCATAAAGGCAAGAATATGTTTTTAAAAAATGACTGATCCATGCTTTAATTCTGTCCATCACCTCAGCAACAGAAAGTCTGATGGCCACAAGCAACCCTAGAAGTCATCTCTAATCAAGTGGCCACCCCAGAACTCCTTAAGCCTTCCCTTCAAGCCTGTGTCATCTCTTCCCTGTCTCAATTAAACATCGTAGCAAACCAGAGCTTAAGTTGGAATCAGCAAGGTACCTGACTCTGCTACTTTTCCAACAAAGCAATTCAACAGTGGGCTTCAAAACCTGTCACTCATAGGCTTAAGCATCCTGTAAAGTTATCCAGGTCTCCTCTGCTCACCTGCTGATTCCACCTGCACCTGTCAGTGCTGCTATGACAACTGCTGTTAGACCCACGGTCTGACACCACAGTCATTATTTTCCACATGTCTTCGATCAACTGATCCAACTCAGACTCTGCTGGGGCACTTGTACCATATGTCTCTGAGTATCAGGGTTGGCTGATCCCTGCTGGACTCAGCTGGGGACTCTGCTCCACGTCTGTCACCCTCCCCCTGGGAACAGTGGTATGACCCTGGCATGTACTTAGGGAAATGGCCAGATGCACAAAGAGAAACCAGACACCTGTCACTCATTACTGGCCAAAGCCAGTTGCCTGGCCTGATCCAAGCCTGGGAAAATTCACTTCACTAACGTATTGAGAGAAACTGAGAAGCGGTGTTTAGTTTTGCACAGTTCAGAGCCTTTGTAGCCACTTCCCACAGGAATCACTCCCACATTTGAGGTTATTATGAGATGTCATATACTCTTCAAGACCCACTTCACAGGTTACATTCTCCAAGAAGCTGCCTCAGATACCCTGAGACAAAGAGTTGATTCTTTGTTTGCTATATAGCAACTAGTTGGAATTGTATCCAGATTCTGTTTAAGTCAAGTGTGGAAATACATGCTCTGCCAGAGGGAGGAATGAGAGGGAAAGAGGACAATTTTTAAATAAGAACACCCACCATTTGATACCATCATTGCGGGAGAACCAAGACCATTCTGTTCTTACCTTAGTCATCCCTGGTTCAGAAGCCTCTCAAGCTCCCAAAAACTTTCTGCAGAGTGAAGGGCATGATTTTCCTGGTGGGAATCTGGTGCTTAAAGAAGCAGACTGTTCTTTTTTACAGGGCCCTGCAGCAAACCAGTTATTTCATCTTGTGTTCAATCAAAGCAACAGCTCTCTGCAGTGTTGCTCTATTGAAAGTCAGTATCGTCCTGAACTTGCCTGGAAATTCAAGGAGCTTTCAATGGTGATAATATCTATCTGCAGGCAATCCTTACCTTGTAGTGGCATTAGTCTCTGCTTCAAGACATTAGTCTGTTACATTCCTTATAGACATATATCAGACTGCATTTTAATTCTTTAGTGTGTGCTTATTTCTATCAACATTTAAGAGTGAGATCTTCCATCTACTAGCTTATCCCCCAAATGCATTCAATAGTCAGACGTGAGCCAGGCTGAAGCCAGGAGCTAGGAGCCAGGAACTCCCATCTGGGTGTCCCACGTGAGTGACAAGGTCCCAAGCACTCATGCCATCATCTGCTACTTTCCAGGTAAATTATCAGGCAGCTTGAACTGGCTATAGCATAACTGGGGCTCAAACCACCAAGTAGCAGCCTGATCCATGACACCGCAAGGCCCACCCCTGAATATTACATCTTCATGCTTGTGTTTCCCACCTAGTTTGTATAACTTTTACTCATGGTCATGGATCTTTGGAAGGTTGTTGCCTGTGGTTGAATAGTATGTACACTGCACAACTATAAAAGAAGACTTCCTTCCATTCTATACAGACTCCTGTAGTTCTCAGTGGTGCCAGCTTTCTGGCCTCCCCAGCACCTGGTAGCTATTCACAGTGCTTGTTCAACAAGAGTGTAAATGAATGAGAGGAGTGAACAATCAATTGAACTATTTTGATGATACACAAATACTGCTGACGACGTGGTCCCTCAGTGCTTAGTGGACATTGTGAGGTGCATGTCTGAAGACATGTAGAATCAAGGTGAACCTAGACCCCTGCGTCAAAGAAGGATGCTTTATTTTCCTTTATGTGAGTGCTGAAGTTTATGTAAAGGCAAACAGAGTCCTATTTCTAAGTGTTTATTGTTCATCTCCTCCAAAGAGTGTCAGAAAAGAAACAGAATTCTTTCCATCTGCTGGTTATCTCTCCAGGTGCCTAAAATATCCAAGGCTAGGCCAGGAGCTCTGATGGAGTTTCCCCAAATAGGTGGCAGAAATCCACCCCCTTACTCCATCTACTGCTTCCCAGGATGCCTTAGGAAGCTGAATCAGAAACAGAGTAGCAGTAATTCAAATTACCACTGTAATATGGAACACAGGCATCTTAAAGTGGTAGTCCAATCCACTGTGCCATAATGCCTGCCCCAAGGCATCTTTTAAAAAGAGCAACCCTTCAACCTGGTCATTTGAGTTAGCAACATAGTGTGGCCAGCAAACTATATCACCAGAATTTGGTACATAGAGTTCAGTGTTTCCAGCCCCTCTGCCAGAGGACACAGGGTGGGTAACTGCCCCCTTCAAGATGGGAGTGCCTCAGGGTGGAGATGAGCCAGGAAGTTGCCAAAAGGCAACTTGACATGGGCTGTCAGGTGCTTTGCCTCCAGCCCAAAGCACAGCTCCAGAAGCTCCCAATGGCTAGAACCCAGTACTTGGCTCCCACAGGGTGGTTCTCGCTGTGGCTGCAAGGGCCTGCAGCCACCCCCAGCAGTGAGGCACTGTGGGCAGGACACAGCCATAGCCTGGGCTTGAGCTATGTGTAGTAGTATAAACAGAAAGCCAACAGGCCTTACCTACTCCACCTGGTGAAGTGTGACGTACAAGGAACAAGATCAAAAGTTTCCTAACAATGACCAGCCTGGAAACCGTTCCTAGCAATGTTTGCCTTTGGTGCTGATCTAGCAGTTCTTGGACATGAACTTGAGATCAGAAAATCATAGCTGACAGAGTTTGTGATGGCAGAATTTGACTTTTCTCCCCGCGGAACCTATCAGTGTCATCTCCTATCAGTGTCACCTTAATGAAATGAGGTGCGTTCATTCATTCATTCTGTGTGTGTGTGTTCTCCCCAGGTGAGCTTTCGGTGGAAGAGGCGCAGGACCCTTTTCTGGTCAGCATCCACATTATCGCGGACCCAGGGGAGTCACAGCCCCTGCAGGAGGCTATCGACAAGGTGCTGGTGTGGATCCACCCGGACCTGCCGCTGTTTCGGGTGTCAGAGCGGCGGGCACGCAGGCGGCGGCGGAAGCCCCCCAAGGGCGCGCAGCCGGCGCTAGCCGTGGTGCTGTTCCTACAGGAGGAGTACGGCGAGGAGCAGATCCTACAGCTGCACCGCACGCTGCAGCGACCACCCTGGCGCCACCACCACACAGAGCGTGTGAACGGCCGGTTCTTGCCCTACCTGCCGTGCAGCCAGGACTTCTTCACCCTGGCGCCAGGGACCCCACTCTGGGCCATCCGGCCGGTGCACTACGGCAAGGAAATCGTACGCTTCACCATCTACTGCCGCCACGATAGCTACGCCGACAGCCTGCGCTTCTATGAGCTGATTCTTCGCCGGAGCCCCAGCCAGAGGAAAACCGACTTCTGCATCTTCCCCATCTTCTCCAACCTGGACGTGGACATTCAGTTCTCCTTGAAGAGGCTGCCCTGTGACCAGAGTCCCATCCCCACTGATTCTTCGTTGCTGGAGTTCCGAGTGAAGGACATGGGTGAACTGGTGCCCCTGCTGCCCAACCCTTGTAGTCCCATCAGTGAGGGGCGCTGGCAAACGGAGGACCACGACGGAAACAAGATCCTGCTGCAGGTAAGCTGGGGACACTGGGTCCTCTAACTGTCCCTCCGTGTATCTGCGGGAGCCTGGAAGCAAGCGGGTTGGCTCTGCCAGAAAGGCGAGATAGTGGCCTCTGTGTGTCTCCTACGCCACACCAAGACGTGCATACTGCATCAGAAGCCACGGGGGTCAGATGCTCAAGCCGCCGTTCGCACAGGGACTTTTCGTTCCACTCTCCCTTGTGCACACGCCCCTCAGCAAACACGCGCCCAATTCTCTTGTTTGCTTCCTCTGCCACCCCTGATGGAACACCCTCTGGCCCCACTGATCCTCTGTTACCCACTGACTCTGACACTGTGCAGGAAACCTTCCTGAATGTTCCTCGAGGCCCCTCAGGGAGCTGGCACCAAGCTGTTCCTCACTCCCACGGGTTAGGTTCCTGATTGGAAAAATGCAGCCTGCTCTGATGTAGGCCGGAGCCAGTGTCTGTTCCCTTCCCTCTGACGCTGGCCTCCCCCGCCTGCTACCCTTCTGTTCCTGGGCAGCAGGGCATTGGGATTCTTGGATTTTAAAGCCTGAAAAATGGCATCTTGATGAAGAGTTGAAAGAACCTCTACACACACACACACACACACACACACCACCCCCCCACCCCCCATCAACACCTTGGCTTACTGTCAGTCCTTTCTCCCCTCCCTTTTCAGTAGTGGTCCCAAACTCCTTAGAGATCATTAACTGTTCTCTGGAATTCAGAATCAAACTTGTAGATGATAGAGAATCCTATACCCAGCTGTGCCAGATCCATACCTTTGGGAATTAACAGCTGAACCAGTGCCAGCTATGCCAGACTTTGTTTTGTGAGTAGAGACTGTTTTTTTCCACCTCTGGCTACCTGAAGGAAATTGAGAATTGGGGGACGTTTGGAAGTATTGGTTGTGGCTTATGGAAGCACAGGTTAAGTTTCATAGTTTTTGTTGGTTTTGGCTTTAAATACCAGGACTGTGATCCACATATGAAATGAAATGAAGGAAGAAGTTGGCCCTGTAAGATAACTGGTTCAAGCTCTAGCAAGACTGTGGTTAAGTCAGAAAGATCACCTGAGATAGTTATTCATAGCAGTTATTTCAGGTTTCCTTTTGAACCACACAGATAATAAACTAAGTATTGTTGCTTTCTCGGGAAAAAGCATGCTGGCATTTGCTCTAAAATCCCTTCTAAAATGCTTCCTCACTTCATGACTTCCAGTTCTTTATGCAAAGCATAATAGAGTTGCACCAAGTAAAATTCAGTGAAATGCAAAGGATTTTGTTTACGCTGAAAGGCTGAAATGAATATGATTGTTTCTAAAGTGGTATCTTCTTTCTTGCACTAAGTAGAAGATTTTTTTCTCTTAATTCCTCGAATAACACAAATGCAAGGACAAAGTACAAAACCCTGGCCTGGGTTCTGCTCAAAGGAGCCACTGAAAGAGTGTTTCAAAGAAGATCTACACATTTAGGTGGTTAGGAAGTTTACAAAGGGACAGGCTTTTGAAGTTAGAGGATCAAGGCATAAAAAGGGTCAGAAAAAGGGTTTCTAATAGGAATATAGGCTTTTGTGCAAAATAGTAGTATGTTGAGCAGATAACAAGGACAGAAATAGCAAATGGCCCCCATAATTCTTGATAATGGCCACTGAAACAGGTTACTACCACTGGCTTCATGGCAGAGAGTAACCTTCTGCCAAGCATGGTGGAGTAGCATCTATTTAAGTTGTTTTGCAGCATAAACAGCCATATGTCAGTCTTGAAAGAAATAGCAGAGTTATTTATTTATCTTAAAGGCCACTCTGGCCAGAGCTGAGCCAATCTGAAGCCAGGAGCTCCTTCCATGTCTCCCCAGTGAGTAAGAGGCCCAAGCACCTGAGCCATCCTTCACAGCTTACCCAGGTGCATTAGCAGGGAGTTGGATCAGAAGTATTGCAGCCGAGACTTGAACCAGTGCCCAGATGAGATGCCAGCACCACAGGCAATAGCTTTACCTACTATGCCACAGCACTGGCCCCTATATTTCAATCTTCAGCAAAATTTAGCTGTTCGGTCCATGGGGACTGGAGGAGTTGATAGAACATCCAATTTCTTAACATTCTCCTGCGTAGTACATGTTCCCCTAGGCTCCATTTTCAACCATAATTTTTAAAGATTGATTTTATTTATTTATTTTAATTGAAAAGTCAGATATACAGAGAAGAGGAGAGACAGAGAGAAGATCTCCATTTGATGATTCACTTTCCAAGTGGTTGCAACAGCTAGAGCTGCTCCGATCCGAAGCCAGGAGCTTGGAGCTTCTTCTGGGTCTCCCACACAGGTGCAGGATCCCAAGGCTTTAGGCTGTCCTTGACTACTTTCCCAGGCCACCAGCAGGGAGCTGGATGGGAAGCAGGACTGCCGGGACATGAACTGGTGCCCGTATAGGATCCTGGCACATGCAAGTCAAGGACTTAGCCTCTAGCCCTCAACTGTAATCTTGAAGATGAATGTTTTTGTTCAACTGCATGAATTTGTACCCTTTTAAAGAAATTTATTACTGCATTAGATTTTCAGGATCAAAGCAAATGCATGAAAGTCTTATCAATTCTCATGCTAATGTTAATACAAGAACACATTCAGTTGTAATTCCTGGATAAAATTCTAAGAATACAATGATACTTGTCAGCCTCTATCTCTCCTTCCCCTATCTTTCTCAATTTTTGAAATTCCGTATCTTTAATTTAGGGTATACTCAAAGGATTATTGTGAGGATGGAGTTATCCTTTGAAGAAAACCTTGGTTGGGTACTTTCTAGTAGTTTTTAAAAAGATTGATTTCATTTCCCTCCCATTATCTTAAGGTCCCACATCCCAGCCCACCTCTTTCCATTGCAATACCCCTGGAGGAGAAAAGCTAAGAGGGTTTTCTGTAAGCTTAGTGTTTTTCATTAAGGTCTGATTAGATGGGAAGAAAGTTGCCCTCCTCATCTCTTCTGGCACCTTTGCAGTGTTTGATGCAGTGCAAGGTCAGGGAGTTGGGTAGGGAGTCGCTGGCATCAGGAGTTGCCTGAGGTTTCTCTGGAAGGTGCATCATAGGAATTTTCGTTGGTACTTGGCAGTGAACCACAGTGCTGTCCAGTCCAGGACTGCACTTATCTTCCTGAAACCTATGAAACTAACCTGACACTGTACTTTGGACAGAATGGGATCTTTTTTATGTGATTTTGTTTTGTACTGACGATGAGTGGAAATAGCATAGGATGTAATTATATAGTTTTGTAATTTTTTTTCCCAAATTAAACATTCGCACAAAGAACAGACAAAGGAAGAAATGGCCCTTCCCCCTGACCCTGGGGACTCCCTTCCATGGCATCAGGAGTGGAGACCAGCCAGCTCCAGGTAGTAGAAAGCCCATGAAATCATTTGGTCTGGCTCTGCCAAGGCAACCACAAGCAGTAATCCAAGTACATTCAGAGCAGGCTCATTTTTAAGTTGATCATTTTGAGTGGCCTACAAATGGTGTTATAAATATCTAAATGCCCCTGGCAGAAAAATGTTCTCCACCCCTGCAGTTGAACATATTGATTCCTCTCTCTCACTCTCTTTTCATATGAAAGTGTTCGTGTGTGTGAGGTAACTAGTCAAAAAACAGAGTTGAAAATGTTTTTAAAAATTTGTAAGTAGGGATTACCTTATTAAAAAGATGTATGACAGCCGACACAAACCCACATTATGGAGGAAGATGAATAAAAACAATTGATATGTCATTTAATATTCAGGGATTTAAACTAGAGGGCATTTGTTGATAGGAAAACAAAGATGAACCAATTGTAGCATCTAAAATTCATTATGCCCTATATATTTTCTAGAGCTGAATTATTCAATGGTAGATATTAGGCACGTGAAATATTTAAATTAAAACTAAATAAAATTTAAAATTTCATTCTCCAATCATACTGGTTGCCTTTGGAACTCTAGATAACTACATATGGCTGGGGGCTACCATTATTGACAGTGCAGATACAGAAAATTTCCACATTTCAAAAAGCTTATTGGATAGCACAGTTTCATAAATACTTATGTATGTGCATGGGTTTCAAAATGTTTCACACCACAATAAACTTAGTTTTTAATTCCATTCTTCCATTAATAAATCCTAGTGCCTTCCTAGGCCCCAAATTTGACTTTTAGTTTCCTAGAAGTCAAAACAAAGATGGAAGAATCTACCATGCACAAGGACTCTGGAAGCAAAATCTCCCCTCCTTCTCATGACGACAGTACTGCCAGAAGCTCATCCTCTGTCTCCTGCAGAATCACATGGCCCTTTCATATGCAGTGCAGCCAGGTGTAGTTCAGAGAACTCCTGCACAAAGGGGGCTGGACCAAACGGGGTGGTCCCTGCACATAGCTCCTAGAAGCTTTGCTTAATCCTAGAGGGAGGGGTGCACCCTCAGAAAATTTCCCAAAGATTATGGCCAAGCCTTGAATAGAAAGCAAGTAACAATGAGCTTGCCATTCTTATTTTCAGCCACATGGGCTGGAGCAAATCTATTCCCTGCAACAGGTAAAGGAAAGTCCTTTGTCCTGCCTTCCAGCCATACCACCTTGTGCATTGTTAACTTCATAGGGAGCTCTGAGGCACAAGACAGGCCTCAGAATCTGGGTTGGGGATAAAGAACCAGGATCATCCAGGAAATCTCAGTTGGGTTCACAACATCCCCTAGCCTGTGCTTCTGGGTCCTGACAGCACTAAAGAATTAACCTTGACAGTTTATCAGGCAAACCCCCTGTGTCAGAACCCACATTTCACAGCCATGCTGAAGGCAGCTGACTTACAAGCCCGAAAACCTATTCAGGTGTTGCTGAGTGAGGTGGCTTCAGCAATGGCTGTATCTGGATTGGAACCCGATCTTAGACTGAGTGGCTGCGGGTACATTACATTGTGTTGGGGACCTAAGTTTCCCAGTATGAAGTATGGGATCATAGCACTTTTGGAAAGCAGTACTCCCTGGCTAGTACAAACAGCA